TCATACTGGACGCCAGAGGGCGCCCTCACGCAGAAACTCCACATGTGCATAACGGAGGGAATAGAACGCAGGAAATCACCTCCGTGAAGTTGGCCCCCCACCCAACGCAAAACGTCGGCAAAATAGTCTCAATCGTTTGTGCTGTAAAAGTGTTTGTTTGTGCTGCTTTGGTTTTTTAGATAATAAAATAATATTTATAGGTCATTCTGAGCTCACTCAGCCCCCCAACATGCTCCAAATTCACCCAAAACAGGCTCAATTGTTTGTGCAGGTAATATTTTCGTTTGTGCTGCTTCGTTTTTTTTTTATATTAGACATTGAATTATAGGCGATGACGTCACTCAGCCCACATATGTCACATCACACCAAATCACATTAAATAGTCGCAGTCACTTAATTGTAAGTAGCCATATTAGTTAAATTAGGCCAATTAAGCGGAAAAAAAACTAGGCCTATTTCACTGTCTTTACAAAACAAACAAAAAGAAATAAATTAAAAATAAAGACTTGATATACATAGGCCTATTTTCATTTCTGCGCACAAATAAAACATGCAATAGCCTACTGTTTCCAGGTCTGTGTAGCCTATACTTTTGCGTCCATCTGTTTTTCCTTTTTTAACCATGACGAACAAAATTAAAAAAGAAGGGTTGTTGTATTTTTAATTACCATCCTGAAAACCAAATTTGAAATTAGAACTGTACACAAAATGCTGCCCGAAAAAGTAAAATATTGATTTTTTTTTTTTTTAGATTTTTGTTTGACTTTTTGCACCTTTAATAAACAATTGAAAAATGCACAAATTAATATAGAAAAATTTAGATTTTAACTAGAGCCCGACCGATATATCGTTTTGCCGATATTATCGGCCGATATGAGCCTGTCGCCGATATATCGGTATCGGCGAATATGCCGCCGACATGAACATTTTTTTTACAGAACACATAATGCAGATAAAATGCTTGAAATGGTGTAATTACTTAGTTTGTCCAGCAGAGCGCTCTCCATTGTTTGCTACTGGCGACCTGGATGAAACGTTTTAAAGCTTAAGTCAATGGAAAACCACTGAAACTTTGAACGGCCACATCTCCATAACGGCGTGGCGAATCTAAAATAATGGCGTTTTTTAAGAATTAAAAATAATCTGATTTTGGAGTTTGACAATGAACACATTGCAACCATGCTTGGGACGGCCCACATAAACGAGCAAAAATGCTTTACATGTCTTGAAATAATAATTTCTAAACATTAAACATTGACTGTCAGTCTTTATTCACCTGTTTCTCGTTGTTTCTCGTTAAAATTAAAGTAAATAGTGTAAATTACACCGTTAATGTCATAAGAATAGCACATTGTAACGCAGTGTTACAACGGGCCCCATCTGCGCAACTGGAATTTAAAACTGGTTAGTGTCTTCTGCAGTAGCGCAAATCCATGAATGAATGTTCCGAAGTGAAATAAACTTCAACGGAATAAAGTTGAATGGAATTGAATTGAATTAAAGTTAAATAAACTTCAACTTTACTGTTCAGTGCACTGATGTCAGACTCATTTTGGATAGTAAAATTTATTGTTGAATTGTTAAATGCCCTTACATATCTCTGTCACCATTATAAGTGTTTGATCACCACATTTGGGTGATCATTGCAAAAAATGTGTGTATGTATATATATTCTGTTTATGTATATACTGTATTCTATATATAGTACCAGTCAAATGTTTGGAAACACGAATGGGAAAGTGTCCAAACTTTTGACTGGTACTGTACTATAATATACACAAAGAATATCAGCCGATATATCGGTATCGGCCTTTTTTTACTCCCTAATATCGTATCGGCCCCAAAAAACCCATATCGGTCGGGCTCTAATTTTAACACGTTTTCTTTGGCCAAATTAGAAGTAGGCTAATGCTTCTCTTGCACGTTCAGTTTAGAACTATATGTCTCTGCGCTAGATCATTGATGGGGAGCTGGGCAATTAATAGTAAATATGACCAAAACAGGGTGTTATTATTATAATTTTTATATTAATAATAAAATCGCTATATATATATATCGCCAGGAGCAGAGTTGGGCACCCCTGCTCTAAACAATGTAATGACATGAAAAAATACTAAATTCACAACACTTTTTTCCCCGGGTCTCAGGAGGATGCAAAGCATATTAAGATACAGATGACAAAGAGAGGTGAGGTTACACACCAGAGACAGATGAGCCAGCACACCAGATCCCGTTGGTGTCGAGTTGTTGATTTGTTATGGAAATGGACATAATTTGAATGCACTAATCCTCCACATCAGACTGTTTCAGTTTTACAATGGTTGTCTTGTGTGTTTTTTGACAGCTAAATACCCAGAGATCAAGTCTCTGATGGGACCCGACCCCAGGCTGAAATGGATCATCTGCACGATGGTTGCCGTCCAGTTTTTGGCCTTCTATTTGGTGAAGGACCTGCCATGGAAATGGGTCATGTTCTGGACATACGTGTTCGGGAGTTGCATAAACCATTCAATGACGCTCGCGATTCACGAGATCTCGCACAACACGGCTTTCGGCAACAACCGCGCCAGATGGAACCGCTGGTTCGCCATCTTCGCCAATCTGCCCATTGGGCTGCCTTACTCTGCGTCCTTTAAGCGCTACCACCTGGACCACCATCGCTACTTGGGTGGAGACGGTGTGGATGTCGACATCCCCACGGATTTCGAGGGCTGGTTCTTTTGCACCCGTTTGCGTAAGCTCTTCTGGATCATGTTCCAGCCGCTCTTCTACGCCATCCGTCCCCTCTGCATCAACCCCAAACCCATCAGTCAACTAGAGCTCATCAATGTGGCCATACAGCTGGCCTTTAACGCTCTGCTCTACTGGGCCTGGGGCGCCAAGCCCGTGGTCTACATGATGATGGGCTCCATGTTAGGAATGGGTCTCCATCCCATCTCAGGACACTTCATCGCAGAACATTACATGTTCCTCAAAGGCCATGAGACCTACTCTTATTACGGATCCCTCAACCTGCTGACTTTCAACGTCGGGTACCACAACGAGCACCATGACTTCCCTAGCATCCCAGGACGCCGACTGCCCATGGTAAGACCAGTTGTTCAGTCCATCACTATAATTCAATTCAATTCACGTTTATTTGTATAGCGCTTTTCACGATACAAATCGTTGCACAGCAGCTTCACAGAAAATTTAAGTTAAATAAATTTAAATAATTTAAATTTAAATAATCATTTTTGACCGAAACATTTTCTGCTATGGTTTATTAAAATTATTTATTCCATGGTCTGTCTGAATACTGGATTCTGATTGGCTGGCAGGTATGCAATAAAACTGTTTAATGCACAGGTAGTTCCAAGTCAGTTTAATCACTGTTCCATATTAATGTGCTGCTTTAATTGATGCACACAAACACACACATCACTCGCGCGCACACACGCACACAGACACACATCTCGCGCGCACACACACATCTCGCGCGCACACACACATCTCGCGCGCGCACACACATCACTCGCGCGCGCACACACACATCACTCTCGCGCGCGCACACACATCACTCGCGCGCGCACACACACATCACTCGCGCGCGCACACGCACACACATCACTCGCGCGCGCACACGCACACACATCACTCGCGCGCGCACACGCACACACATCACTCGCGCGCACACACGCACACACACACATCACTCGCGCGCGCACACACACATCACTCGCGCGCGCACACACACATCACTCGCGCGCACACACACATCACTCGCGTGCGCACACACACACACACCACTCGCGCGCGCGCGCACACACACACACATCACTCACGCGCGCGCACACACAAACACACACACACACATCACTTGCGCACACACACACACATCACTCGCGCGCACACACACACAGTGAGAGAGAGAGAGTCGGAGATTGCAGATTATGCTGCGCACTAGGGGTGTGACGAAACACTTATCCCACGAGACGAGACACGAGACTGGGTTCATGAGAACGAGACAAGATTTTTAGACTTTTTTTAAAGAAATCCTCAATATATAGGGAAAAATAGTATTTTATTCTTATTAATTAAAATCATGAAACGTATACATTTTCACATCAATTTATTAAAAGTTACATGTTTAGGGCCCTATGAAATGTTTTATTTTTTCTCACCATATTATTTATATTTTTTATTGTTACCAAATTTTGTGTTTTAGCATGTCTAATTTGAATGCATAAAACAACTTAATTTATTCATTTTTATCTTAAAGTAGCCTTATGAAATTTTTTTCCCCCTCAGAAATTCTGTGTTGTATATTTACATGTTTTTCTGGTTATGAAATGAAGGCATAAAACATTAATTTAATTTATCATTTATCTTTTAATTATTGAAAATTAAGCAAACAAGATTTTTTGGCAAACAAAGGGGATTTACTATTAAAATTCAAACATGTAAGAAATGTTTTGTGTGATTATTCCTTCAAAAATAGTGTTTGTTTCATTTTAGTAGTAGTAGTAGTAGTAGTAGGCTATGTACATTCTACTGAAAAATAGTTGCAATGTCTACAGAAAAATAGGCAGTCTTCAAATCAAACCGGACTTTTATTTAGACGGGTTGCCGTGAATACCTTTACAGTTCTGTGTATGAGATATGACGCTAGTTTTACTCAAATCAAACGCTAAAATGCTCATGAAGTGACTCTCAGAGCAGTTCTGGAGATGTTGTTCATGTGTTTGTACTCATTTAGTGAGACGGCAGACGCTGAAATCCCCGCGAGTGTCAGGCGTGCTTCAGTATGTGTAGTAAATGAAACCGCGGCTTAATATTTACAGATGCTAGTCCATATCGTGATTTGATTTAAGTGTAATGACCTACTTTTGATTCATTCATTCAAAATTTGACAAATTCTGTGACATTTCGCGTTAAACTGTGAATTCTGTTTTTATGACTGGATAAAGACTACACTGCGTAATTTTCCCGCTTCTCATGCGGCCACTTGCCTGATGTGAACACAATATCTTACATACCACCACTTGTGAACGAGCCAGTGTAATGGATATCTGAAAGGTCTGCGCGAGGATATTGTCACGTTCTGGTCTCGCGAGATCTCGTCACACCCCTACTGCACACACACACAAACATGTTGTCAACGCTTCCCTGCGATTTTTATTAATAAAATAGCCCAGATACTAGATCGCTACATTATATTCCTCAACAACGACGTGGTAAAATCGCTGTTTTTAAAGTAATTAATTGTTTGTAGAGAGACACGCAGACGCAGGTAACGCACACATCTCTCTCTCTCTCTCTCTCTCGATAATTAATTGAAATAAATGTGATCTTACCGCACTATTTCATCTCTGTCTGATTTGAAGCGGGCAGAAAGCTAGAGCTAATGTGCCGTAACTGACGATGGGTCATTTTTACCCATTCGGTCAAATATTGCGCTGTAAAGAGCAATACTAGTTTTAACTTGTCTATAACTTGTCAAATGACCATGGAATAAGCGGGATAATCAACGGTTTGCCGTGCATTAAAGGATTTTAAATGCACTTCGCGTCAGGTGGTTCTTTGCCTCCATATCGTGCATTTAAACCCTTTGAAGCACGGCAATCGTTGATTATCTCTTACCTAATTCATTGGAATGGTATGAAACTTGGCAAAGGTTTTGGCACTTGCTATGTGAAAAAAAAAAAAAAAGATTCAAAAAGGTTAAAATGTTTTTTTAAAAGAAGTTCACACTTGTATTGTTCTAACGTGGCCAGTTAGAGTTTGATGAGTAATCTCTACTTAATTATTTTAAGTTGAATCTGCAATACTCGAGTACATTTCAATCAGTCATGGTTTATAAACTTTACTCAAACAATGTAGCACTGAAAAAAAAACATGTTATTAAAGTATGTGGTTCACTTGCAAACATATAGGCCTAAAGTAAGCAAGTAGACAGCTTGTTATCCTTTTTTAAGAGAATATGTCCGCTCAATATAAATATTACCAAATGAACAGTATGATGGTAACAATCAGTGGATACTGTTAGAGTAAAACTGAACTCCAGATGCCACAAAACTACTAGTCGGTAGTCTAACTTGACTAGTCTAGTGAGCTCAGACTGACGGAAGACATGCAAACAATGCAGCTCATCTCTCATATCAGAGCATCAGCTACTATCCGTGCTTCATCAGATCGTCATGCACTGACAGAAGCCTTTCTTTGGCCGGTTTTGAGATATCTGGACTCTCCCGTTCCTTCCTCCAGGTGAAGGAGATCGCAGCGGAGTACTACACAGGCCTGCCGTGCTACACGTCGTGGGTGAAGGTCCTCTATGACTTTATCATGGACGATGACCTGAGTCCGTACTCGCGTGTGAAGAGACGGCTGACAGGAGACGTCAAGCAGGAGTGACCGCAGACCGCCTTACCCTTCGCCTGCTGGAGAGCCAGCCGTCTGTGACACACAGGACATTTCCATCTTACTTTTTGGCTTTTAGCAAGTGTGCTGACGAATTTTAATTGTGAACCAAAACGTTTGAGCTCCTCTGTTGCACATGGTCTGAAGATCCAGACGCTTTTATTATAGTTTAATGGAACTGTCATGTTTTGCATCTGAACGCTGATGTCTCGAACTCGTTATACAGTAGAGATTGGATTGACCAGGTCAGCAGTTCATGCTGTTTCACTGTTCTTCTGCTCTCTCGCAGTTATCTGAATGAATAACGCTGACAGAGCTTTGGACGCACTGTAAATCAGCATCCAAAATAAAAGTTTGTGTACATCGTAGATGTGTCTACTGTGTATATTTATTATGTATATATAAAGACACCCATACAGCATATATTTTGAAAATATTTACATGTATATATTTATATAAATTATATCATATATAAATATATTTAATATACAAAACGTAACATATTTTTCTTAAATATATACATGCATGTGTGTGTATTTATATAGAAATAATAAATATACACAGTACACACACATATACGATGTAAACAAAAACTTTTATTTTGGATGCGATTAATGGTTTGACAGCACTAGTTCTTATGTATCATTTTTACAATAACCGCAGATCTGCAGCGTCAGAGATGAGTGTATGGTTCAGTGCAGTGGATCTATAAGTACTGGAAGCGATTAACGCTAATCTCTCGTTAACTCACGCCAAAGTCCAGCGGTTTGGAGTAGAGGTCCGTTTAAGCCTCTGTTTTACTTCATTATTTCATCAATTTACCAAGTGAATTGACGAACCTTGGCTAACAGTGAAGTATTGATACATTTATACATTTTATATCACATGAACTGAAAAGCCTTAATAAATTTGAGCTGGTGTCTAATGATTGTTCTTGGTGTCTATCTAAAATATATGAATATTTTATATATATTCTGTATGTTTTAACCCTGAATACTGGACTTGCAGTACTCTACTGGTCAAACGTTTAGACAGATGGCAACTTGTTCTTTTGGGAAGAAAAAACACACACACACTCATACACACACACACACACACACACACACACTCCTACACACTCACACACTCACCTACACACACTCATACACACAGACTCATATACACACACACACACCTACACACACTCAGGGATGGGCAGTGTTTCAGATACATGAATTTAAAATACGTATTTGAAATACAAAATACTATTTTGTATTTGAAACATAGATGGGCCTGTTGGGGAAAGCAAATATATCCGTTTAGCAGGCAGGAATTATTCATTCATTCAAAAGGAAGCCTGGATGAATGAGTAATAGAATGTGATGTGCTTGGTGCAACTGCACTTATTATAAGTGTGTATGTGTATGTCCTCTATACTTCTATGGCTCTCAATAGATTCTGTGGTTGGAGTGTAATATGGTGAAGAGATAGATCAAATAGGCCAATTGATGGAAGGTTTGCGAAGAAATATCATGCTCCCTTGTAAAAGTATTTTTTTAGTATTTTTAAAATACAAAAATACAGTAGTTTATTTTGATACATGGTGTGGCTGCTGTATTTTGTAGTTTATTTTGATACACTTAAAATGAAGGTATTTGGTATTTTATTTTAAAATACATTTTGATGTATCTTTGCCCAACCCTGCACACACACACACCTACACACACTCACCTACACAGACTCATACACAAGTATAACAATAATAATAATTTGCATGGTTTGATGTGATATGAGCAAATTTAGATTAAATCACCATTGGTAGCATTGACTGCCACACATACTCCTCAAAACATTAGATTCATCCGCGCTGAAGCTGTGCCGCCGCACAACCCACGCAAGGAAGATAATTCTGCACACTGCTGCAATTGCAGGTTTTCAAACAGAGATGGCGACAAAGAGGCAAAACTTGCGAACTGCAGCTTTAAATATAAAAATATGAACAATTTAAATGTTTTAATTAAATGTTTCAATTAAACTGAGTATACAACTCAGTTTTAGCTTGTTAATGAATATATCTAAATATAAACAACAATTTGATTTAAGCAGTTGGAATCAGTTGTAAATTTTCACCTGTAATATTATAATAATGCATCAACTGGCACGATGTAGTTTACAGCTTTAGACCAGAGAGAGATGTATTCTTTAAGAACAGCTGACATGTACTGTATCTGATATATATCCAAATCGATAAGTCAACCCTAACATTTTCCATTTTTGCACTGAAACATCCAGTGTGATCTGACAGCCACATTACATCTGAAGAACCGGGTCTATGATCACTGCGAAATCGACTGTTTAACCCTAAGAAGTGTTCAGAGTGTGACTCTTACTATGGCTTGCTCAAACAGTTCCCGCAGCTTCTGCTCTGATTCCCCAGAGACTCCTGACACCAGCTCCGGAGCCGAGACCTTCAGCATGGGCAGACCCACCTCCTACACACACACACACACACACATCAGATACACTCAGCAGTAAAAACTAGAGCTGCATCCCAAATGACGCACTATACACTATGCACTTATACACTATGTACTCAACCATGTAGTGTATGAATTATATAAGGTTATTTTGTCATTCATAATCGGAGTCTGGTAGCCCCTCCCCCTTCGGTACATAATTAAAGCTGCGACAGTTGAGTGCATGAAGTGTCCAACATTCCACACTTCATATGTTCGGTTATTTAAGTGCATCATCCAGATATTTAAAGTGCACTTTTTCTTTTTGGAATTCTCAGTGTGAACACACTACTCGTACTATTTATACTACAAAACGTCATAGAATAATGCATAAGTGTGTGATTTGGGACGCATCTTAGGTCTGCACGATAAATCGCATGAGATAGTCATGTGCATCTCGTCAGTAAAGCCGGTTCTGTGATTAGTAGTAAATCTCCAGCACGTGCTTTCAGATGGAGCAGCATTTACTACACAGAGCCGTAGTTCACTGACAAGCTACGCAAAAGAATTGCAGATGATATCATCGATATTATGAAATTGCGCTGCGATAATGACAGCTGTTTGCGTAGCTTCTCAATGAACTATGGCTCTGTGTAGTAAACGCTGCTCCATCTGAAAGCACGTGAAAATACACATTTAATAACATGTTTTTACTGTAATAACATGTTTGTACATCATGAATTAATCTTCCAAACCTTGTTTTTGTCTTATTCTGAATCACTACGGTACACTTATAATAAGTACTTTTAATTTGTACTACTGTCTGTTCAAAATAAATGAAAAGAAACCGAGCATAGTAGGTAGAGCCCGACCGATATATCGTTTTGCCGATATTATCTGCCGATATGAGCCTGTCGCCGATATATCGGTATCGGCAAATATGCTGCGGATATGAACATTTTTTTTACAGAACATATAATGCAGATAAAATGCTTGAAATGCTGTAATTACTTAGTTTGTCCAGAAATTGCATTGTTTGCTACTGGCGACCTGGGCTGAGTTTCCCGAAACCTTCTTAACGCTACGTCGTTCGTAAGTTATACCTTAAGTTGTACCTTTACGTTAATACGTGTTTCCCGAAACGTTCTTAGTTAAGTATACCTTCCGTAAGTCATTCGTTCGTAAGGTTAGTCTGGACCACTCTTAGCTATACCTTCCATAGACATAAACTTAGAGAAGTAGCTCCGGTTGGAATGTTCTTCCGCGGGATGTGTGCAGTTCTGTTTATTAACTGCTAGAGCGCCAAAAGTTACATAGTGCTGCTTTAAATCCTCTGTGTATTCAGCTGCAGCGATAGGGATTTCCTGGGTTTCTTCTGCAAGACGTATTTGGAGTTTCTCTGGCCTTCAGATGGAGATTTACTGCTGATCACAGAACTGTGCTTCACAAGCCGTAGTGACAACACACACACACACACACAGAGTCAGAGTCACTCACTCCAGCCACAGCCTGAGCCAGCAGTGTCTTCCCACACCCCGGCGGAGGAACCACTCCCAGCCGCTGGTACACCTCCGGATGCCTCCTGTGGATCAGCAGCTTACAGACCTCCTGAAGAAGACGAGCAGATGGAGGCCGGCACACTCTCGTATGTGAGCAGGACACACGGATGGACGGATGTGTGCAGTGTTGGGGAACGCATTACAAGTAACTCGAGTTACGTAATCAGATTACTTTTTCTTACGTAACTAGTAAAGTAACGCATTACTTTTTAATTTAGAAGTTGTTAGTTTTTCCATTATAATATACAAAGGCACATCGGCTGGCAAACAATTAGGCAGCACATAATTAAGAGTATATTTAAAGGGAATGAATGTGATGGGGAGTTTGGTCAAACTATGGCAGCGAGACAGCGAATAGTTGTCCTAAATCAAAGATGGCTGCGTCTGCGGAGCCAGTTAGTGTATGTGCACTATTTCATAATAATGTCAGAATAGCTACCATGTCAAAAGATACAATTCTACAAAAATTTCGCCTGCCACGGGAGCAAATTCATCAGCTTTTACATACTGTTGGTCAAACTTTGTAGAGACAAACTTGACGGAGCTACCCCGTAAGCTAGTAAAGTACTGCATTACTTTTTAATTTAGAAGTAAATATCTGAGTTACTTTTTCAAAATAAGTAACTCCAGTTACTTTGTTTCCATGTATTGAGTGACAGCTCTGGTGTTTCCATGGAGACAGAAATCAGGAGTAAGTGCAGAGCTTGTGTGAACATGATCTTAAATATGAACATGTATTTACTCATCTCACCTGCACAAAAACAGATTCAGTGTTCCTCAAAATGAATAAAAACA